GGGCGGGCCGGGAGGTTTCCCCCGGGGTAGTTTTCGTCAGCGCCCTTCTTTTTGCGGAAAAAACCCGAGGGTTTCGGTTGGGCAGTGTTCGGAGAAAATCTGCCACGCGTTGCGAAATACGGGGAAGTGGGGAGAAAATCCGAAGGCAGGGATAACCCTGGGTAAGCCTCTTGCCCTGGAGCTGCTTCCCGGGCAGACACCAGCCCGCAGCCCCGACGTGGTCCTGAGGTCCGCGAGGCGAGCGAAGGGATGCCAAAGGGCTGGGGTGCTGCATCTCTGGCGCCGTGCCGGCAGGGATGCCTTGACCTCGGCTGTGCCGCCCTCAACCCCAGCGGCTGGCTGTAGCGTCCTTGGCCACCTTTTTTTTCACAGCGAGAGAGCAAACCCTCCTCAGGCCTCCCAGAGAAGATAGGGGAGCATCTCCTTCCAGGCGATGATTCCCAGCAGTGGATCCCATGTTGATGGTGGTGTGTGTACAGCTCAGCAATCAGAAGGAATTTAGCCAGACTTCTGTTTTCATTGATTCCTGTTGACAGGGACATCTTTACTGACCACAGAGACTTTCAGGGATCTGTTTTTTTCTCTGTAGAGTGGGATCAGCACCTCCTCCTGGATCCCACATGGGTCAGGTGTCTGAAATCCAGATATTGCTGGGCCTGATTTTAAATAATGCCTTAGGTCTGGTTCTTCTGCAGGCACTAAATGCTGCTTAGTTTTCTTTGCATAGGTTAAAAAAATAATCATAGACATAGGTGCACAGAATTAAACAGTTTTGCTATTGCTAGTTTTCTTCTTTTAAAGCCCGATGGAGATGGTGCTTGGCCACAGCCAGGTGGCTGGTTTTCTGCTAGGAGGCTCTGGTGTTGTCCCTTGATATGAACACTGGTTACAGAAATATGGCAACAGTTCAGGTCCTGGCTCCAGAGCATCCTATGTGCCTGTTTCCCAACACAGCTGGACCACACACAACTGAGTCATCTGCTGCTTTTTGCTTGGGGAGACCTTGTGGTAGGATTTTGGGGAACTGTGAGCTTCAGTGGTTCTGAGTTTATTGCATTGTAACTCCTGGCCAGGAAAATATGTCAACAAACTACTGCATTTCCAAGGCACTGGATTCTCAGAAGCATCTTTTACCGACCTGAATAATTTCCATACATTGTTGAAGAGGCAAGAAAGCATATGGAGAAACCATTAGAGTATAGTAGTAAGGGGAAGGTCACTAAATTCTATTTTGTAAAATGAGCAAAAGACTCTTGTAAGCCTAAGATCAGGAAGGAAATAAGAGCATTTGGCCCTGGTTCACCTGCCATTTCTTACTGAGCAAAGAGCTAAAGCTCTCATTTGACTCAGCTGGGGCTTGCTGCGACAGAAGTTCCCTCTGAAGGCTCGTATGGCTGCTCACGAGCAAGAAATGCTGCTTGGGCAATGAATCCCCGTTAATGTGATTTACTGTAGTGTGGCGCAATAGATGATGGTGTTGCTGCAATGAGCTTGGAGGTGGGAGTTGCTAAGTTGCGGACCAAGCCACAGCAGATCCAGTTACCTCTGGGCAGAGGAAACCAGTGTATAACTGCTTAAAGCTTTCCCCGTTAGAGCGTTTGTCCTCCTGTATCGTATTAAGGTGGCCTAAGATAATTTTTATAGTATTGCTGCAGGAATTTACATTAAAAAATAAAAAACTTTAAACAGCTGAAGAGCGCTTTTTCATATTTTTGAGATAGACAGTTGAAATGTAATGAAATATGATGAATCCTGAGGTGTTTCTCTTTGCACCTTTAGGGTCTCATTCCCAGCCTCCATGCGGTGGTGTAAATCAGATGTGACCGCAGAACAGCTGAAGCTTACTCCCAGGCTGTAGTTTACTTAAACTTCACAAATTGGGACAGCAGTAGGCAACTTTCATTGTGCTCAATTTGTCTTGAAAAATGAAATCCTTCCCTGTCAGTATTAATGTTTCCAGGAAATATGATGTGAAATTTAGCAGGTTTTTTTAATTTTTTATTTTATTTTTTTGTTCCTCTGAGTTATACAGCAGCATGTCTGCCTGGTTTTTAGTAGTTTTCTATTGAAATAAAGTAAGTGCTTTTGGAAGATTATAATGAAATAAGTAAGCGTAGTTTAGGCTTGGAATTATGCAAGGTTAATCTCTAACCACTAGGAAAATTGCTGCTGAGTGTGCAGGCAGATTTCTTGGGTGGATTCTCTCTAAGTTTCTTCAGGGTCACTGCTCTCCCAAAGCCCACTTGAGCATCTCATGTAGTTGTTCAGGTTTCCTCTACGTCTAGTTACTGGGGGCAGAGATGTGCCCTCAGAAGTTAATTTTATACCTTCAAGTTTTATGAGGTGTAGCACACAGCTTGAGACACGTTCATCTTTCCTGGATGTCTAGTAATTTGTAGATGTCTCTAGTCCATGAGTTTACCCTACATCCTAAAATTTTAGATACTTTCAGTTAGCTGAGATTCAGCTCTTCCATTATACCCTGGGATAAAAAATTTCATATGAGCTTTAATTAGAAAATTCAAATGATGCAGTGCTAAAAATGGAAGATGAGGAAGACAGTCTGTCAGATTCATGCAGTAAAATCCTGCTCTGGGGAGCAAAATCATCAAAAGAGCGTCTTGTCTTGGTGCTGCTGGGAACAAGGGAGAAATTTGGCCTGGTTTAAGCTTAGCCAGTGGAGCTAAGCTGAGCTGAATCAGCTGAGGCCTCTCATGGGGATGCCATCTCTAAGGCAGCTGTACCAATTAAGTATAGTGTTTGTAGTATTTGCGTACTGTGGATATGGCAAAGGACAGCTTTACCAGTTCTGTATGTGCTATTGTTTCCAGTGTTGTAAATGTGTGTGGCTTCCTAGCTAACAAATTATGTTTCATCTTATGCTAGCTTGCTGTTTGCTTGACCGAGCTAAGTTTACAGAGCAGCTTGTATATGATCAGGCTTTGTTTAAACCTCTGTTTTCTTACAGTAAACTGCCTGGATCAACATGTTGAAAAGTCTCCAGACAGAGTGGCTCTGATCTGGGAGAGAGATGAGCCTGGCACTGCAGTGCATGTCACGTACAGGTACGGCACCTTCTCATGATGTTTTACGATGTCCCGGTATTGGGGTGGGGTGGGGAGAAGAGCTGCTGCTCTGAAATTAGACTGCTGAGAAGCTCTGCTTTCTTTCAAGATACACTGGCACATAGGACATGCAACCACAGCGCTGTGGCTAGGTTGTGGTGTCATGATGAGAGAGTTCCTGAAGAACAGAGGCATGTTCCTACCAAGAAATGATATTATTCCCTTGTCTTCTTCATGGAGAGGGCTCCCTCATCTTAGACACCTGTACAATAAACATACTACAGGGTGAGAGGTACAGGGGATATAAGTTAGTGACAGCTGCTGAAAATTTCAGATTCAGATGTGGCGTCATTATCTGGTTGTGGTGTTGATCAGGCCTGCCTGTAGATTCCCTTTCTCTAAGTGGGGCTTTTAGAAGAGAAAGGCTTCATTTTTTTTCTCTCTGGTTTATCCTCTCGTCTGCCAGTTTTCGTTTTGCTTGTTAGAAGTGTTAATGGGAACATTTCTGTGAGCACCTCTCAGTTTCAGGACAGCAGCAAGTGTCTTGGTGCAAACAACATCTTGTGTTGATGGTCAACAGCATGATACCAAGTCCTGATTGAAGGCGATCTGCAGCTCCATGTGTTCCTCTTCCTCAGTGGAGCAGCCTTGAGGCTGCTCTGAGTGATACTGACTCGTAATTGCTGCTATAGTTTATAGGTTCTGTTAGAATATGGCAGATTTCAAGCATATTTCTCATCTCCCTGCTATGTGCCCTCATTTAGGACCCAGGCCTGACTGCAAAAATGCCTTTTACATCATCTGACTCTCTAGTACTCTTGTTCTCTCTAGAGTCGAAAGTTTCCCAGACTTGTATATTCCTCAGTGCATATTGTACGGAGCCAGATGTTTGATCTCCTGGATCAGAAAGCTGAGGAGATCTAGGAAGTCCTCGCATCTGGCTATTTTACAGAATGTTTTCTGTAGCTTGGTGATAGTTGGGATTCCTGGAGCTTCTTGAGTCTCATGGTCTGGTTCACCTCTAGCATTTATCAAAGCTCCTGAAAACATTATACATTGGACTGAAGAAAAAAAAAAGTATGCAAATGGCTTTGAGAGGTTAGTGCTTCATGCAACATAAATAAAAACTGTCTGGCATAAAGGTGTGGAAGAAGTGGCTTAGTTTTAATCTTGGTATTGTTATTGGATGGGCTGTGTAGGCATGTTATGATATAGATGTGTTATAATCAACTGGGTTGCTTGGCTAAACACTTTGAGTTCTTTTGCCATTCTGGTAGTAGAAAAGGAGATGGAATAGATGGTTTCTTCCAGAGTTTGGGGTGGTATATGTACTTTTACCACTCTCTGCATGGCCCAGGTGTGAAACTGGGGGTAGGTCGGGGGAGGGAGAATTGTACTCTGATTCACACTAGAAGAAGAGCAGCCCATCAGATAGCACAGCCTCATTCAAGGCAACTTGAATCTCCCCCATAGGCTGTGCTATTTGAGATGTGCTGAGCTGCTCCAGACCCTCAAACCATCTTCTAGGGATCTCTGGAGTAATGAGAAGGCCTTTCTGAACAGCAGCAGAACTGTTTTTTCTCGGCCATGCCAAAATGTGTTTGGAAGAAACCGTATTTTCAGCCTGTGGATTTGTGATTGCTGTGGCTTGAAGACAAGTAACCCACATCTGAAAACTGAATCCATCTTTGTGCAGCCTTGCAAAGATATGATAACTAGCAACCAGAAAGAAGAACATCCAAGTGAAATACAATTTGGCAACCTCCATTTTCAAACTTCTGCTTGTATATGAGAGCCACACTCCTGTTTCTGCCTGATGCTCCTGGTGAGATTGGCTGCACTTGAGCGATATGGTTTCTTAAGAGACTTTGGTCCTATGACATGATAAAACAGGTCACTTGATTCTCTGCTTATCTCATTAAGTCAGGAATAGCTTTGTTGAAAACAGTGATATTATGTGTATGCAAGGAAAGAATCAAAAGTTTTGCCTTTTCTGTGATCTTTGGGTTGCATTTTTAAAGGTTTTAAATGGGCAGTAAGGTTTTCCAAGGTGTGCTGGCAGTGACCTCCCTTTGAGGATGAGCTTAGTTGAAAACTTTTTACAGTAGTGTCTTGTTTTAGCTAGAAGTTTTGTGAAGGAAAGCATATGAAGCCCAGAAGCTGTGGTGCTGGTTGACTAATCCCTCCGAGAGCCTTCTGTAGCTGGGTGGTCTCTGCACGCCAGCCTCAGTGCAGGGCAGCCTCAGCGGGAAGAGGGAATGAGAGGGATGCTGGGTATCAGGGGGACCCAAACTCTGGTGTCTGTGGTGGAGGAGATGTGCCCCTTAGGATCTGGATGCACTGTTAATGGGACAGCAGCCTTAAAGTCATGCACTAGGAAAGTAAAGACTTTATTTCGGCTATTGCCTTATCAACCAGCTTTGGGGAAGGTCCTGGAATCTCAACTGGGAGGTGTCCAGGGCTTATGTGCAGAGAAGTACAAGGCACCAGTTTGTTGCATTATGTACTTTGCTGCTGTGAGCGGCTTGTCCGTATAGATAAGCCTTGTGTGGCACAAGGAAAGATGTGGCTGCTGGCACGGGTCCGCTCCCTTCTCCTCTGGGGAGCTGTCAGGGGCAAGAAAACAGCTGAGCGCTGGCTCCGTTCCCATCACAGCCTGCAAAGGAAGCAGGCGGCTGTGCAGGAAAAGGGCTGAAACAGGCTTCCTCCTCCCCGAGGAAAGGGAAAGCCTTGATCAGTAGGGCCACCTCCACACATTGGCAAGAAAATGCAGCTGCATTGGAAAGTGCTGTCCCAGCTTGCTCATCCTTGGGAGAAATAGGAACTTCCGTTTGCCTCTGCTTCTCCACTCACTGCCTCACTTGTGGTGGGCAAAAAGCGAGTGGGGCCATGCCAGTTCTGTTTTGCTTGAATGCTGATTGCTGCTTTTACAAGCTCAGTCGTGATGATCTTTTTCGCTGTTGAGTTTTGTCCTGTCTCTCTAGCTGATGCAACTCAGCTTTTTGGGAAAAAAAACATTCCCTGGCTCCTCTTGTGACTTTTTCCTACTCTGGGTTTCATTTTTATCAAGTAGAAATTCAGCTAAGTTTCAAATTATCTCCAATTTGGAATAGGAAGGTGGGAAACTTGGTTTTTTTACTGCTTGGTGACAACAGGGCATGCAACTCTCCTGGGGTTTGGTGGCTGCAGTCAGCAAAATGGGGACAGATCATACCAACCTGTTAGCAAGCAGTCTGGCTCTCTGGAGCCTAAACCACCATAAAACCATTGTTAGGGCAGTGGCGACTTAGCAGTTAACCCACAGGAGTGTGCTGTGGTAAGCAGTCAGCTGAATTTTTGGCAGAAGGGTCCAACCCATCTGGGAGTGTTTTGTCCTGCTCTGTGGATGTTGTCAGGGCCCAGGAGCTTTGAAACCTTGCAGAGGAATTCCCCAACGTGTTGCTGTGCCTGGGTTTTAAAGGGAGCTGTATTATCAAGTGCCTTATAAAACAGCAGGTGGAGTTGGTAGCTGGAGCTGTTTGGTTGCAGCTTCTGTAAGCTCAGGAGCAGGGAATGTTAAAGACAGCAGCTAAAGTTATGCCAGACCTCCCCCTGTCCAACCTGTGGTTATTTATTCTTTCTGGTGTTTCCTTGTTTACCATGGTCTCCACAATTTAGCCACCTGTGAGCCAGTGTTCTCTAGCACCACAAAATCCTATGTATATTGCCAAAGGGAGCTGTGCAAAGAAGTGGGCAGCAGTATGTTTTAGCTAACCTGTTTTTGCAAAGAGTTGGAGGCTGGGTCTCAGCAGAAGGGTTTTAATTTACAGAGGAGCTCACTCCAGTGCAGAAAATGTTGCAAGGAGAGGAAATGTTCAAAATGCAAAATATGAAGTATGGAGAGGAAAGCAGAAGCTGAGGGGCCAGAAATTAGGGTCCTAGGTAGCTTTTCCTAATGTCCTAGGTAGGTGGGAACATGCAGAAGAGATGTGCTTGGGCATTCTCATTAGCCGCATTACAGCTGCCCCTTTAACAAGCCAGCAGATGGTAGTTCAGCCCGAGCTGAAATGGTTGAAATTGTTTTAGAGATCACAATGAAGACTGCAGCTGTGTGACTACTTACCAGGCTGTGCAATGTGGAATATGTTTCTCACTGACAGCAAACTCTTTTCCTTCTTTCCAGTGTTGACTTCCCAAGTTGAAGTTACAAGTAAATCTTTCCCAAGCTTTCAGCTCTCCCCATCCAGGGCTGCTCAGGGAATTTTTTGAGAAAGGTCACAAGGGGTTTTCCTTGCCATGGGTTCAGGATGTCTGCAGGAAGGCTGGAGAACTGTGCTTGGTTTAGCAGGTGAACCTACAGCCAAAAAGCCTCATGTTGAACTTCATATTTTTCAGTTATTCTCACTAAAATGAAAAAAATGTTGAGTCTTTTCTTTGAAAAAAGGAAATGTATTTTCTCTATTTAGCGAAAAGTGAGTGAAATGGAGGGTAAAACTGAGGCACTGTAGCAGAAGGTGCAGTGAGGAGTGAATAGGTTTGTGCATTATCCTTGTGGCCAGACCACTGACCCAAGAAGGGATGGGTGTGAAGACTACTGTGTCCTGGGGGACTTGAACCTGTGTCTCAGATGGCAGTGCCTGTGGTGCTGTGATTGCAAGGTGTAGAGGCAGGCTTTGAATTTGGCTGCTCCACAGTAATTCATGTAGAGCACAGCTAGGAGGTGAGACATGAGGGTGTTGGGCTCAGAGATGCCCAGGTTTTGGGGTTTGTTTTTGTTTATTTTGTTTTGTGGTGGTTTGTTTTTGTTTGTTGTTTTTTTTAACCTGACCTGTTTGGGGCATTTGACCTGAGTTTTCAAATAGTTTCAGCCTGATCCAAACTATGGTTCCAGGAAATAAACTGGTCACTGCAGGAAATACTCAACCCAGCCTTAGTGCTGAGACAGCAGAGAACATGGCTTGTGCCGAAACTCCTAAACAGACACTGTTTTAAGGGGCCTCAAACAAGAACTCACTTAAGGA